TCAGTTTATATCCTCTCCCAACCCAGGTTCTCGTTTGTAAGCTAATTTAACGATTAGTGAACAAACTTGTAACAATAGTTATACTAACTTTTATAATTAAAAATTTAAATTATCAAATATTAATTATAAATAGTTATATAATTATTTTTATAGTTCAAAATATTCCTGAAATTAAATTCAAAAATATATAGATTCTTAGCTTTATTTTGATATAAAAATAAAAAATATTTACTAATAATAAAAATTTTATTATAGAAAGATAATTTTAATTTTATGATATTTTTAGTAATTTATTATAAAGATATATATATATTAAAAACTAATTGAATTAATTTTATATAATTTAATTATATTAATAACTAATAAAATATAATAAAATTTCAAATCTAATATTTTAATTAAAATTATTTGAATTTATTATTTTTGATTTAAAAATATTAAATAAACTAATTTATTATTATTTAAAATAATTAGTAATTCTTTGATTTATTTAATTAAAAAAAATATTAAATACTATTAATAACGAAAATAAATATTATTTTTTATATAATTAAATATATTTTATATATTATTCAATTTTTAATTATAGTATTTTAATAATTAATAATTAGTATTATTTAAAATTGTTATTATTTAATTTATTTAGTTAAAAAGTTATATATATATTATAAGTAAAATATTTTAATATAACTAGCTTTTTAAATTTAAATTTATTTTTGCTATATTTATATTTTTTGCAGATATAATATATTTATTATTAATATTTTTTTATAAATTTAGCTTATTATAGATTGTTATTAGATTATATTAATTACAAAATTATTTTTAGTTTTGTATATTCTGATATAATATTTTATTACTTTTTCTATTATTATATTATATAAAAATTTTATTATAATTACTCTTTTTTAAGAATTAAATTAATTAATAATTAATTATTAACAAATATTGAAATTTTCTGATAAATAATTATAAAATTTAGAAATTTACCAAAATAATTTTAAAAAAAACTAGGAATTTATAATTGAATTAAAAATTTATTTAATTAAAATTTAAATAAAATAATAATTCAGAAAAATATCTAATAAAAAATAAAAATTTATTTAAATATTTTAAAAAAACAAATTTTTTAAATATGTAAAATATATTTAATATATATTAACTCTAAGATTATATATAAAATTTTATTAATAAATATAATAAACTTAAAATTTTGTTTTATATATAAGTTTTCTTTTTTATATTAAAATAAAAATTATAATTTATAATTATATTTCAACATATATTTTTGATTTAATTTAACAAATTTGTTTTAATTGTAAAGTTATTTAAAAATTTTCACAAATAACTTTGTAATTAAAACAATTTTATTAGATTAAATCTAAAAAATATAGAAGAAATATAATTTTTATTTTAATATATAAATAAAAACTATTTATTAATAAATCGAAAACAAACTTTCAGTTTTACTATATTTTATTAATAAACTTGCATATACAATTCCATAATTTTGAGAGCCACTATATATACATTTATAATTTGAAATATTTTTTAAAAATAAAATAAAGAATAATGCTCCCGACAGGGGTCGAACCTGTGACCTTGGCGTTATTAGCACCACGCTCTAACCAACTGAGCTACGAGAGCTAATTATTTCAGCTAAAAATAAACTATTACTTTTTTATATATAAACGTAATTTAGCTCACTATCGCTATATGTATTTACATATTTCACAATCAAGCAGCTTTCTTACTCATCGGAAACTTTCTCAGATTAGGATCAGTATACCATTTATGAATCATGGCAAACGTAGCACCACTTAGTCCTGCCGTAACTACAACCGCTAATGGAAGTAACTCCAGAGGAAAATTACGAATCGAGTGACGAACTCGTTTAATCAAGTGGAGTGGATCGTGGACGGATATTTTGGGTTTTGGAAATTTTGCATCTTTTTTGCTACGTAGCGATGCCGGTTCTTGTGTTGGTGGTGGTTGTTGAGTAGTTGATGCCATTTTTTGGAATGTTGCGCTGAGAAAGTAAATCATACTATATGTATTTAAATACGTGTATTTTTGAATTATAAATACGTACAATTTAGGATAAAGCTTTAAGTTCAAATAATTCCTCTTTTACCTTAAACCAAAAACAAACCGTATTACCATTCGTATATTTTCTTGAAAAAAACAAAGATATATATATATATATACTTGATCATTCTCACATAAAAGCCGATTATGTAACAGGTTATTAATTCGTGGGAATTATGTATATTACATATCTTATACAATCAATAATCATATCCTCTCTATGATCCCAGTGGGAATCGATTGCGTCACTTCTTTAAAAAAGAAAGATTTCATTAAAATACTAAATGATTTAAAATAGCAAACGATTCAAAAGCATAATAGAAACTTCTTTAAACATGACTACTACAACAATTTCATGTACCGGCTTGTTGACCAACAAAATCTTTGCGTGAATTCATGGGTTCTGGAACGAAAAATATGATAATCATTATCGCACTTATACTAATTGTCATACTAGAACTGTTTACCAAAAAAAAAAAAAAGGTGTAAAGAAAAGGGTCACTTGAGCTTGAGGATAATACGATTTCTTGGAAATAATCGAACCAACAGATAAGATGCAAGTGGAAAATATATTATAATTCTGTTTTGAATGTCAAATTGACATTTATACATTAAATAACTCAACAAAAAAGTGGCAGACATTTTGGTTGAGTCCATTGAAGAGTAAGTTTTATTTTTTTCTAAAAATACTTTAATTTAAAACCTAATATTTCAAAAAAATATATAAGCGTTTTATCCAGAAAAAACATGACTACAAATTGGTATTTTTGTTCACAAAGTAAAAAATTAACCGCAAAGCATCAAAATTCTTTAAAACATTGAGACAAATGGAATAAATGGATTTATTGCAATGTTGTTATTATTAATAATAATTGTGCATTGATTTATTACCAAGAAAAATATATGCTTGATTAGTTAAATAGAGATTTAAATATCACAATTTATTAAAAGCAAATCCACTTTTGGTGAATTAAAACAAAATAGATATAATAAAAATGTCTTTAAATTAGCAATATTTTATGAATATAATATTAATGCAACATGTAAAACTCTTAAATTTACAAAATTAAAATTTTATAATATTATTATATATTATTAATTTATTATCAACTTACAGATTTTTATTTTATTTAACGATAATACCAATAATTTTGAAGTTCTTGTATATTATTAGTAAAAAATAATAATCAATATAATAAAAAATATATATTTCAATAATTTAAAACTTTTTAATCAAGTTACAGAATATAAAATTGCAATTACAATTTCTTCTTATTAATAATTTTGCACAAAAAATATTGATTAATTTACTTGAAATAAATTAAAATTCAATTATTTAAATAGTATAAAAAAGAATTATTATAATATAATTATAAATAATATTATTTAATTAAATAAATTTTGTTTAATAAATATTTTTATCAATATTTATTAATATTTAAAAGCAAAAACCAATTTTTTACAAGTACAAAATTATAAAAAATTTTTATTTAAAAAATATATAATTTATTTATAAATTAAATAATATAATAAAAAAATAGTTTTTTATATAAAAGTTTTAATTTTATTAATAAATATTTTTTATTGTTATCTCAAAATAAAAATAATATCACATATTTTAGTATATATTTTTCAGATTTTTTAGATTTAATTTGACAAAATTACTTTAATTACATATAAAATTAATATAAAAAAGCTTGCAAGCCAAAATATATTTGTCATTCCTGTATTTGACTTACAAGTTAGCTTGCAAGGAGCTTTATTTATTACATGTACTATAAAAAATTACTTATTATTATAAAAAACACTTCACTATAAAAATAATTATATATATGACTATTAATGTATTTGAAAAGAATTTTTAATAAATATTTGCAAAAACTATTTTAAAGTATGAGTATTACAAAATAGTTAAAATATTTAAATTTATTCAAACTCAAATAAAAAGAAAGACAGAGACAAATAGATGATATTATGAAAAGAATGTGAAATATAATTATCCCAACATGATCTAGAAAAATATACCAATTAGAATAGATTGATTTATTAGCCAATCAATCATCGTTTGTCTGATCTAAGCTTTGTTTGGATCAGGTCAGATTAATCTAATCTGATAAATTCAGAGCAGTTTGGGTTCGAGTCAGGTTTGACCTGAAAATTGTAAATAGTTTTTCATTAATAACTTTTATTTTTACTAAGATACTTGTATTTGTGTCTTAAGTAAAATTGTTCACAATGTAATTGTGTATATATATTTACAAATTTTTGTTCAATTTGAATTAATATTGAACGAGAAATAATAATTTTTAGTCTGGTCGGGTCAGATTTGACAAAACACAACCTGATCTGAAGTGTGCATCACAAATTTGATCTGATCATCATGTGAATTCAGCTTCCATTGTAGGAGTTATAAGTATTTCTTTGCCATTTTTATTATTATTATTATTATTAGCATTTAGCATTGTCTTGCTATTTAGAATACGTGGTAATTTTGTGATTGTCAGCCTTCTGGTATTGTTACTAATGAATGCTATTTGTCTTCTCCGTTGGCCAATTGTTCATATTTTGCATATCTACTATTCAGTGAGCACGATTCTTGCCATTCTTATCTGGTGGACTTACTGTGTTTGGTCATTGATGACTGCTCTCAGTTTCTGGTCATTTTCTTTTGGTATTGCCAGTGATTACTGAATTTTTCTAATGCCCAAGTTCTGCTGGTGTTGACTGGATTTTATAATGTTGCTGGTAAGTATTCTTTTTAATTTCTTGATGCGAATAGCGCAGCTTTGTTGCTTTAATTTCAGAATGTAACAATTTCAACTGGGATGGTTGTAATTTTTGCAGTAATCATTGAATTCGACTTTCTGGTAGCAACTTTGTTGTCACCATTACTGTTACCGGTCATCACAAGTTTGATCTTGTATTTTCTGAGTTGTTAGTTGTGGCTTGGTTGCACTTTGTGCTGGATTATTCTAATACCCTAGCCATGATTAAAAAAGGTGTCAAATTATGTGATACGTATGTTCGGAAAAATTATACAGTAATAAGGATTATTGTTAAAGGTTAATTTAAAGGTTAGGATTAGGGTTAGGGCTAGAGCTGGTATATAAAATTGTTTTCCGACATTTTTTTAGTGTACCAAGCATCTGTTTCCCGTATTCTTTACATTTTTGCTTTTCTGTGCCGGATTTTTTTTTGCCGGGCTGATCAAAAATTTACGCATTTTTATTGGTTTGAGCCACCAGTAGCACATGACCTGACTCTTTTTTTCGCCGTGGCTAGGGTATTATGTATTACTAACGCTAATGATCAATTAAGAATTTGATTTCGAATACAATAGTAAATACAATTCCGTTAACGTCGAAATAACAAAAACTAGACTATTGCTGATTGATTAACGTATCAAAAAGATTGATATATATGACTCATCTTTGCGTAAACCAAATAGAAGGAAATAAAGTTTTTCATCGAATATTTTCTGTAATTACTTATTACTTCTAAACTCGTAAAAAAACTCTTGAAAAACGCGAAAAAAAATGCGCGAATCCAAAGAAACTCCAGGATATTCAGCAAAGTTTTCCTATTCAAATTCATACAATAGTCCGAAAAGTTCTTTAAGTTCTAAAGTACTTCGTGTTGCTCCAAAAGCGCCTCAACAGCAACAGCAGCATAAGAATTTTTATAATCATTGTAATAATTTGAATACGGTAAATAATTTGGGTGCGGCGAATCATATAAATACTATCCAAGAAGATAAGGATCATAAAAAAGAGCAACAGCGACATCAAGAACAGTATCTTTATCAAGACAAATATGAAGAATATGATTGGATTGACAACGGTTGCTTTGATAGTTGTGACGCAATTGCTATTTCAAAGGAAGATTTAGTAAAGGCAGCTGCATTAAAAGTCTCTCATGGTGATTTGTTGAAGGCTGTATCAAATTATCATTACTATCATCAAACATATGATAAATATTTCAAAGGAAATGAGAATAATGGTATTATCATTTTAACGTTCGATATTATTGATATATAAATTACTCTAACGCTAATTTTTGTATGCACACATACATATCCAAAAAAATAGGATCCCCAAAAATATGGATTGGAAATGTGACAAAAGAAGTTCCAATTGATAGATTAAAGTATGCTTTGACCGCTCAATTCGGTTTTCTCCTGCACTTCATTAAACCTTGTGACAAGGTAAGACGCTTTTTATAATCGTTAATAATGTTAAATACGATAATAATTACATGTAAATGTTACATGTGCATGTATTTATGATACGTACAATTTAGCCGTATATCCTTGCAAAATTTATCGATTTGAGATCCTATGAGAAAGCAGTAATGGCCGGCGAAGTTCGAGTATTTGGAAAACCATTGCCTGTTGAGCCATACATTTACAAATCAAGCGCCGGTTATCAATAACTAACGAATCAGTAAAATTCGATGAGTGAATCTATTTCTTCTTGAAATATTCTAAATAGCATTTCCAAATATTTATTCCTTTTATTCTTTTATTCTAGATCTCTTTCATCATTCATAAATTCCTTTCCTAAAGCTAATGTTTTACAATAATAATTCTTTTTCATTGCATTAATCTAAGTACTCTTATTTATTAGAGCCAACCTTTTTATTTAATATAATATAATTGTTGAAATCAAATAATTGATCAGTGCAAAGTTTTCTATCCACTTACCGGAATAAAAAAAATTATTTTTGTCAAAACGGCAAGAAAAATTTTACATGAGAAGAGATTTCGTCACTTCAAGAAAATCTCATAAATGAATTTAATCAACTTGAACAACATTCACAGAAAAGCCTGAGTTTGAACAGGAAAAGTCAGAAGTTATAGCAGCAGTAGTAATAACAGAAGAAATAACATTAGGATGACATTAAAACTGTATATGAAAACACAAAATATTTTAACAACCCTTCGCTTTTGTTGTATACGTAATCTGTACACAATATCTTTTTGTTATGTGACTAATAGCGTTCTTGTTTCGTAAGATTTTTTTGTCAAAAAAGAATCGGTTATTGGGACAAAAAAATATATCGAGATCTGAACAATAAGAATTATATCTCTTCTTTAATCATGAGCAGGGAAATGTGTAGTACTAAGATAGATTTCTTAATCTCATTAGCATAAAGTCTTAACTATACTGAAAGGTATAAAGAAATATGTAAATTACAAATACAAGAAACATTCTCGGATAAAATTTTGTTCCAATTTTCGATTTATAACTTTGAATAACGTGCTCGAGCTCTCTACATAATTGAAATTAAAAATTCCAAATTAACAACATACAAAAAAAAGAATAATAAAAATAAATCTTGACCTTGATTATTCTCTTCATCGCTCTTTGTTTCTGCTCTTCAGATGATAATGCAGGAATTTGACTTTCCATCCATTTCTCTAATATCGGGATAATTTTGTTATCTGGAAGTCGTTTTCTTTGGATCCATTTTTCTTAGTTTTTTTATCATTATTTCATTCAAATTGACAAGATTAAACATTTCTATTTTACAAAATTAATTTAAATAAAAGATCAAAGACAAAGATAAAATTTATTTACCAATAGTATTTTCCATATCTTTCAACACAGTAGCCGAAACAGGGACATTCGGCTGCTTCAACGCCAACAACTCGTATGCCACAATTCTTAAATTGAATTCAGTATTTGTGCAATAACTCCTATTCAATCGAACATGATAAAAGAACTTGAAATTCTCGCAGATACTAATTCGTATTTGAGTCATTGTTGCATCAAAGCGTCGTAATAGTCTTGGATGTCTTTTTGATTTTATTGTTGTTGTAGAAGATGATGATTTTTTATTATTGACTACTGCTTCTATTCTTGATCGAATAGTGGGATCTTGATGACGAATAGATTCCACTAGGTTCCCGAGTACTTGTGATGTGATGTTTCTTGGAAAATCATTTTCTGATTGTTTTTCAATTGACAGCTATTGTTTTTTTTACATTTCATATACATGTATTCCACAGAATAAAAAAAGAAAACACTAACAAAGACAGTGGTAGTAATGGATCAATATTTATTTTTACCTGTTCTGTCATATTGACCAGAGTGGTGAAACTTTCGTCAAATATTTCCTGTGACATTCTTTGCTAATATTTTTGTTTGAATACTAATACAGAGAAATTGGAAAAATCATTTGGATCAACTGTTATACTTTAGCTATGCGACGTGCGAGCACCAATCAAGTGTTCAATTTGTACTGATAAATACATGTAATACATGTACATGTCACATGGTATGATATAAAAAGTACGTATGCTATATATACATGTATTTCGTATTATTCGCAATAAAAAATTAATGAGATCAATAAATTGTTCGTCAGAGCACAATAAAAATATTTAATTGTTCATTTTATTTTTATTTTTCTTTTCTCCAATTCGTAAAATTAAAATCTGTAACCTGCTGCGTAATTTCATCAATTGCACTTTTTTCACGTCGTTTTTCACGTTCGATCAACTCCAAATCCAACGCACCAATATAGGCTTCCATAGACTCAGCAAGAACCGACTCATTGTTCCTCAATTTCCCGGGCCCCTCCTGAATCAAAATACATTCATCAAGTCCCGTACGACGACAATATTCTGCCAAATTTTTACGACTAACAATTTCTGCTCGTAATTCGGTTAACCTGCCTTGTTGTGCTTCCGGAAATTCCCGAAGTAGATACTTTGCCACGTTATAATTCAATGCGGCGTCACCTCTAAATGCCAATCTGTAAAAATTTGTGGGTAATGAGTTTTTGATTTTTTGTCCGTGATCCGGATAGCTCGGATGTAATAACGCTGCGAGTTTTAGACTTTCGTTTTGGATTTGCGGTAGAGGAAGATGAAATGTTGATGGTATGTGTGCTGGTGGTTCTGTTCGATATTTGGGAATAGGGATTTGGAATATTTTTGAAAGGGTTTGTTTAAATGATTTTATGAATTGAAACCGCATTTTTTTATTTTTATGATAATCAAGTGTGACCAGTTATCTGCAAAGATTATCATTATCGTTATTGTTATCGTTATAAAAAAGCGAAGTTAAACGTTGACTTGATAAATTTCTAAATATTGACTTGTTGACATTTACATTTGTCTTGCCTGGTAACATTCTCTAGTCACTCAGAAATCGCAGCATTTTGTTTATGATATATCGATATCAAATATCATGAAATTCATCACAATACAGTAGCGACCATAAGTATCCGAACGTCCGGCCGGCATTGCCCAAAATTATACGTACTACATGTATAACGATCACCAAATTTTCTGGGCGTAAAATGTAATACGACACCTGATCGCTTTCATGTTCCAAATACATGTACAATAATCTAATTCTTGACATCCAGTGATCCAATTCGAACAAAAATACTACTATTCGATTTGTCTCGACTATGCGAATCGAATGGTAGTATTTTTGTTCGAATTAGATCACTGGATGTCGAAATATTGCATCATAAAGTAACCAATTCGTTTTTTTGACAACAAAAATTGATCAGCCAATTTAGGACGTAATATTTCAACGTCCAGTGATCCGATTTATCTTTGCTAGACGTATTATTTTTGTTCGAATCGGATCACTGGAGGTCGAGATATTACGTTCTAAATTGCGATTCATTTTTTTGTGATCAATTTCTAATGACAAATATGAATCTGTCATTTTAGGATGTAATATCTCGAAATGTGTGCAGGTCGGTGGTGTAGCCGACCTGCCGTGCCACAACTAATGATCGGAGCCAATCAAAATTGGAAATTAATTACTAATTAAGTTGCACAGCTCAACATCAAATTGTAACATAGCCAATAACACACAGGTTAGTTAATTTGTTAATAAAGTGTAAAGTTTTTGTATTTATTTTTATTGCTTTTAGATTCTTGTTCGGAATTCTCTACCTGAACCTTTAAAGTCAGTACTTCCTCAGCATTATACATATTTAATCGAAAACTTCAATAAATTATCATCATATCAAACTAAAGAGCATTTTGCAATTTTACAATTTGAACTGGATGCGTTGTGGATGTAAATGATAAAGAAAATGCATATAATTGGTTTAAAGAGTTTCAATCCTGGTCAAAAATTACAATATCAAAAACTAACATTACGAAGTCAAAGAAAAACAAGTATTATTTCGAGAAATATATCATTGTATTCATCAAAATTTCAATTCACACAAGGGATTTAATAATTATTCTAATAGTATTTTCAAAATAACGCTTTTGAGATTTTGATCCACAGAGAGAGCATCAAAATTTTGTTATCATTTTAATAGAGCTTTCAAAATACTTAAAGGTATTTATAAAATTTAAGGAATATTCAAAGAGAAACTTCTGATATCTTAATGACAATTCAAAATATTAATAATACTTTATGACTATTAGACTGAATATTGTTACCATTTTCGTTGGTTTTATAATTCTTCAATATAGATCACGTGTTCTTCACGTGTTTCAATCAGGTGG